AACGTGTTAAGGAGGAACAGAAATGAGGTACTTATTTTTACAGAAAGTTCTGAACATATGTATTTTTATATTCATAACTGTGAATGATTTCTGTGGATGTCTGTGAACTGTGAACTGTTTTCTTTCAAAAAGATATTATTTCATCTAATAATAAATTTACAAACCTACAATTTCAAAAAATTACATATTTTGTAAATTTAAATTTGTAAAGTTTCTAAGTTTGAAAATTGGTAATGAAACTAAATTAACTGAATAATTTTTCTTATAATAATTAGAGCACGATTAATACATCGCATGTCGCTAAAGAATTATTGACTACGCAAGTAGGAGAATATTAGGAAAAATAAACTTGAGAGTCATAGTTTATTAGAGTACATGAAAAGTTGCATGTTGCGTTAGAGAATACGTTGATTACGTGCGGAGTATTATAAATGAACCTAGCATGCATCGATTAGATTCAAACGCGCTTGTTAAAGCCTGGATTTTGCCGCTAATTAACCAACAGCCAGTATCACGCACGAAGATTCTTGACAAGCCTAACGTATCTGGTACAAGTTCAACGATGCAAATTAATTCTGCTTAGTATACATTATCTGAATACGGAAATAAGTAAACCTACAAACTTATGAAGCTGAGAATTTCATAACTTGGAATTTTTTATATTTAAAAGAAATTGGAAAACAATTTGGAAAATTGAGCAATTTGAGAAAATTGACAAAATTGAGAAATTTCAGAAATTTTAGAGAATTGAAATATTTCAGGAAACTGAAAAAATTGAAAAAATTGAAAGAATTAAAAGAATTGAAACTATACAAAAATTGAAAAACTGAAGAAAATTGAAAAAATAAAGAAAATTAAAAAAATTAAGAAAATTGAGATAATCAAGAAACTTGACAAATTTAAGAAAATTGAAAAAATTTAAATATTTAAGAAATTTGAAGAAAATAAAATATTTAAGAAATTTAAGAAATTTAAGAAAATTGTGAAAATGAAGGAAATTGAGAATTTGAGAAAATTAGGAATTTTACAAATTTGAGAATGTGGACACTTGATAATTTGGAAATAAGAGAATTTTAAAATATGAGGATTTGAAAAATATGAAAATTTAGAGAATACGAGAATTTCGATATTTGAGAACTGGAATGTTTGTGAATTTGGAAGTTTGAGAATTCGAGAACTTGAAAATTCTCAAAATACAATAATTTGGATTTTTGAGAATTTGCAGAATTTTCAAATTTCAGATTACAAGACTAAAAATTCTCAAACTTACAAATTTCTCAATTTGGTACTTTGAAAATTTAAAAAAATAGAAGCTCACACCTGCTACAATAATTTATTCTAACATCTCCCTAAAAAATCCCCAAAACCTACAAATCCCCGGAACCTACTCTAAACACCCCTATACCAAAAATCAATCCGCACACCACGAACACGAAAAAAAAAAAAAGAAATTCACCCGACGAAAGGATGACTGACAGGGTGCTAACATCCCTGTCCCGTCAGATAAGATGAAAAACAAAATGGTTCGAGTCGGTACGAGGCAAAGTGGTCGCTGCAAAGGAGAAAGCATGTGCAGGGAGAAGTTACTCTTGTAATTATACTGCAGACGAATGCCAGGACATTCATCACTTCCAACGTATTTAATGTGTGTGAGTTAAATACGTACGACAGGCACGCTAGCCGAGCTCGACTAACAGTCACGCTAACAAATTAACGCTGATGCGTTAAATGTTCGCGCCGAGTGCCAAGCCGGAAGATCGTGCTTGTTTCCTCTTCAAGTGGACGAGATCGGGCTCGGTGCTTTGATCTCTTTGAGCATCCGTGTAAAATCTCTTCCCTCTCGTTATAACGTTATTAACACGCACGGTACTAACGACGCACCGCATGCGTCTTATCTTATCGCAGCTACGCAGCTGACCGCTCGCTCCACATGGACTACGTGGACTTGCGTGAAATGGAGTTGGATAGAAACAAGCATTGAATTTACCATGAGTTTCGTTTCTTATGTAAGCGAATAGGGAAATTCACGGTTAATCGCGATAGGAGAAATGACCTTGACCTCGTCCTTGAATTATGTTCTCAAGGTCAACGGTCTTTCACACTTTCGAACACGAGATGGATGATGATAGACAGGTTATTAGAAATACTTAAATTAAAATATTTGGAGATATAGACATAGTGGATTTAGGGATCTAGGGACTTGCGAATTTGGAAAGTTGCGAATTTTTGGATGTAGGGAATTTAGAATCGGGGACAATTGAGAAATTGGGAATTTTAGAACCCAGGAAATTTTAGAATCTAGGGAATTTTAGAATCTACGAAAATGTAGAATCTAGGCAATTTTAGAATCTACAGAAATGTAGAATCTAGTGAATTTTAGAGTCCAGGAAATTTTAGAATCTAGGGAATTTTAGAGTCTACGAAATTTTAGAATCTAGGGAATTTTAGAATCGGAGAAATATAGAATTCGGGGAATTTAGCATCTAGGGAATTTGAGAATTCCGGATATTTGGTATTTGGAAAATTTAGAATCTGGGAAATTAAGTTTGGAAATTTAGAGTAACCTAAAAATTTAAATTTTGAAAATTGAGAGTTTCCTAATTCAGAAGTTTGAAAAATTGGAAATTTAGGAATTGAGGATATTTTCAGAATTGGTAATTCAAGGATTAAAAGTTTGAGAATTCAGAAACTTAACACAAGTAAAAATTTTCAAATTTTCTTTCGTAATAAAAAAAACATAATGAAACTAATTTGCTATAATAATCATAAAGCTAGAATGCATAAGAAAGCTCGAATCCTACGTAATCGTTAAAGCTGACGAAACATTATGAAACAGAGTTGAACGGGGCCATCCACTGTAGGAGAAAACATAAAAAATATGTAATCCCAGTCTCTGTACGTAAATACGTGCGTATATTTACGTACATATAAACTTTTACGACAGCACGAAAAAAAAAAATGAAAATACTCGTACAAGGAAGAATCGCCAAATTTGGTCAGATTAATCGGGTATGGTGTTCAATAAAGTTGAAGATGTACACATCAAGCAAGAAGGAAATATCACGATCAATGAATGTCACGCGTCTTCGCTTTTAAACCATAAAGTAAAATGAAGGGTTGATGGATAACGTGTAAGGTTAGGGATAAAACTTTATAACTGTTAATCCGGCACGAAAGAAGTATCGCATTACAGTTTCTGGGTAAATAGCTTCTTCAGTTTCGCTAAATTATCGCCTAAAATACCTTTTAACCACTTTACTTCAGCTTGTACAGTAAAGGTTAAAAACTGGGGATCTTAAAATTTCACTTTCTAAATTTAAATACTTGAAATTTTATAAATTTTTATTTTTTTATAAGTATAAAGTTTGAAGTATCTACGTATTTAAAAATCCTGAAATAAATTAATGTGTAAAAGAATAAGTTTAAGTGTATATTCATTACATGTATTTTTATTCGATGTAAAAGACTGTACGAATTTGTACGGTAATATTTCATATCGCGACCATCAACGTTGATCGATATTGCACGGTAATCGAAGCGTGACCGTAGTTTACGTATAATAAACCGATATCGGGTACTTAGTTCGACTTGAATATCCAAACGTAAAATAAATTGCGTCATATTAACTGCAGTTACCCAAATGTATCTTATAAAACAAATAAAACATCTTTCGTATCAAATATAACCTCTTATTTTTACTGTTAACGCGCCTTACTACCGAACTGCGCATTAAAGTTGGAGCGCAATTTAAATTTAAAATGTAACGGATCGATTGGCAATCTTAAGCATTACTTGTCCCAGATTTTCGGTTATTTTTCACTGACTCATTAATTTTGACTTCAATTATAACTTAAGGTTGCACAATCGTGTCACAAAGTACCTTTATTTCGCTAAAATATATGTACAAAATTAAAACTCACCTGATTATAGGAGCATGTTATGCTAATCACCACGCAGTGGACCTCGTGTCGTCGGTTGATATGTTTAATTTCCTTGGACACACATACACGCACCCACCCACGCACTTGTCACGATATGTATCATTTGCAGTTTAGGCGAAATTTGAAATCGCGAGAGAACACGATACAGGACGGTTCGCGGTCAAGAATAAATGAAAATGAGAGTGACGAAAGCAGAGGGAAGCACAAAAGAGGTGAGCGGCGAGCTGCGTGGTAAGCAGCCACCCTCACGGCAGGCGCGCGAGTCTACGACTGAACCTATTCTACTCTGTACTCGTTACCGGCGACGTGCGCCGACATCACTCGAAACGACTCGTCCTTTGAGAACTCTGTATACTCCCTCGATCGTTCGATCGGGATCCTTTCATCACTCTCTCATTAATCCTCCAACTTCTATTCTGAAAAACACAGTTCAAACAAATGATATCAAAATATAATCCTTATTCTTCGAAAATAAAACTATCGAATTTAATATCGATTTAAACAAAATCCGCGCGATAACCTTCTATATTTCAAATACTAATGTTCGGACAAAAATTATCATCTCTGTCATTACAGCTTATATTCTAAAAAATTTTAAATAAATAATGTAGAATTTTTTGAATAAATGGAAAGAAATTATAGATAAAATGAGAAGAAAAATATTTGATAAATATTCATATTTTAATTTCTATAAATTTTAGTATGTCAAGGACAAAGTCCTTGAGTAAAGTTGTAAAAGTTTTAGTTGTGCGAATACCGTTTATTAAAAAGTTTACATAAAAGTACATAATTTTCCGATCACCATTTGCATTTAAAATGTGCTTAATCCACATCTAATATTAATTTAATAATCACTAGTGAGTTAACTTGGAACGAGTTAACTCGGATTTATTGGATGGTGATGTCGTCACATTCAATTTAATAAACATACCACCTTCCCGTTAAAATTTTCACAAAACTAAGTGACCTTGAATTATCAAAATCGTAAATGCGTCTCACTTTGTGAACATTTACCAAATATTTAAATGTTATAATACTGAATATTTAAAAATTCATTAATTAAATAATTCTCAATAGTTTATTTCGAAATTGTTTAATATAACTTGCACGTTTAATACTTTTCCAATTGTGTTGAATTTAATGTACCGTAGGAATTTGTGTTTACATTGTTCAATGGAAGATTTATAGCATATATTTTATGGATACCTCAAACAGTCAATGTACAAATATTCTCAATATTTCAGATTTTTAAACAATTGTATATTATATTTCTCTAATTTCGACAGTATTGAGGACAAACATTGACATGTTATAAAAACTGATATTTTATGCACAAAGAAAATTATTTTTTTTCATTAATATTGACAATATGTATGTACATATCGATTGTCTGAAGTGTCCATTAGGGCAAATCAAGATTTCTTAAGAGCTTCGTATTTCTGTTTTACTGAATTTTTTGACAGAAATAAAGCGAGTACAATTTTTAGTCGGGTCGAATATATCGACACGCTTACATCGAAGACAGTTGAAAGATAAGTGAAATAGAAGGAAATAGCAACGAATATGAATGTAGGATGTACGGTATATGTAAATACATGTACAGGTATATAATAATATAAATAGTAAATAGTTTTCAATATTTGGCGTAAATCACTTTTAAAATTTCTATAACTTATAGTAATATCATGTATACATTTACAAATTAATTGTGCTTACGATAGAAAAAGTATAATCATGATTTATTTTTATATACGACCTCAATCTAGTGTAAAAGTTTCATGATAAATTAACGTTTCACGTGTAAATTACGAGTTACGAAAATGTTCAGCGATGATAAATAATATTTTACGAATCTCTTATATATATCTATGTATATATATGTATATATATATGTACACAGTTATAGTAAATAGTAATAATCGCATTAAAAAATATGGAAATTATAGCGGGGTAACCATGAAAGTACGTTCAAGCGACAAAGGGAGAAAGACGCGCAAGAAGTGTACAATATCTACGCAATTTCTACAAAAATATGAAAAGCGTTTATGTATTAAATTCTTCGCTCGCCAATTCATTACGTTCCCTAAAAGTTCTCTCGTCTAATAATTACCATCACCATCGTTATCATTTTATTGCTCTTACATTACCGCCGTCAATATTTTACAAAAATATTTAATCTTGCATTAGTCGAATTTTTCTTGAGCAAGCATATATGCAACAAGTTAAGCAAATACATATAATCGTTCGCACTGTCGCCCTCTGTCACTTGCCACAAGGACCTCTGGCATCATTAATACAGTTTCTTATCTCGTACCTACAATTGCGACTTGCTATTCACTTGCGTCTCGGTGAAAACGAAGCAATCTCTACCATCTAATTTAATTCGAGACTTGTACTACGTACAATGATAGAATATCAAGTATAAAATAAACTACTTAAATGCATTTGGCATGTTTCGTTTATGTGTGAGTCCCACTTGTCCTAATTTGAATTATTGATTAGCATCAAAGCCTTCAAAAATCTGGGAACAAATGACATCACTTCCTTGGTTAAACAACTTTGCACTTAGATTAAAATAATTAATACAACTTTGGATTTTTGTTGCAGGTTAATCCCACGTCGGTCATTTTCAATGTATAAATATATCTACTTATATTTATTTTGTTCTACCAGGCGTTAGAGTCGAATTTACAATTTCAGATCTGATATGAACACTCTGCTTACTTGTTCTGCTTCTACTGGCAGCTGTTGTATTATCTACAATTGACCGGCGATTTTTTACATTTTTCTTTTCATCTGATTCCGAAACATCATCTTTCCTTCTACTTGTGTCCGCTGATTTTCCATTACTCTGTTGATCAGTTTTACACGTATTCTTCCCGATCTTTGTTTCACCTTCGTAATTCTTTCTTAAAGGTTGCGGAGTGTAATATAAACTGAATCTTTTTGATTTTGTGCTTTGTTTCTGCTTTTCGTCCCGCAATTCATCGGTGGAACTGAATTTTCTGCCTACTCTTGGAGTGACAGAAACTGACTTATCACCTACTAAAACAGATTCAGAATCCTTTTTTGCAGAGCACGTTGAAAAACAACTAAATCTTTTATTTCTTACTACTGTCTTAACATCTGCATCAATTTTTGGTGTGCATTTTTCTCGCCTGAATTTTACGGTTTCGTTCTTCGTACATTTGGATTCGTCTCCTGTTCTGACGCAACTTTTTCTGTTGCTTAAAACATGTATTTTGGAAGGTTTTGATGCATTTACTTTCAACATGGTTGGAGTTTGCAATATTTTTGTCGCCGATTTTTCTTGGTTTGTTAAAGGAGAACTTTTTACGCAGTTTAATTTCAATATTTCGGTTGTACAACCATTTTCATTTGGATCGCACACGTTTGAAGTTTTGAGTTCTTGATTATAAGAAAAGCAAACGTTCTCAAAACTATCCGTTGACTCCATGCTTTGCGTGGAACTCGATCTTTGATCTTGTGTTAACTGTGCAAATTGAATATTTACAAAACTGTCTGACGTTTCAATGTCATTACTTGAACTGCCAGTTAAACTATCAGTTGAGGAGAACATGGTATTACAATTTTTCATATCGTCATTTTCAAATTTCGAAGTAATTTTCTCCGAAACCATTGCACTTTGATAAAGATGTTTTCTTCTATACTTCGATTTATTTATCCCAGAACGAACAGATGTGGGTGTTTTAAACACATTTATATTGCTATTATTTGATACATGTGAACTAATAGGTGTAGTACAATTAACGTCACTAGAGAAATTTTCATCTCTCCTTTCGAAGGATGCATTCTCTTCGGCTGGATTGTTTTCGCATTTATTAAGGTTAATTGAAGGAACATTCTCAAAACTACTTATTAACACTGAATTATCCATCTGTACTGATAAATTAACATTTTCATGAATACTGTTTGAAGACGAGGCTTTACTATGCGACGATTTTAAACCATGCTGATGAACTTGGCCATCATTCAAATTATTTATAAGATTGTTCATAGAGTGACTAAGATCTTGAATATCTTGTAAACAATCTGCACTAAGAGACACAGGTTCATCGTCTCCAGGATTTCCATTATTAAAGTCATTTTCATCGTAACTTAATTTTTCTTCGTCCTGGTCTGCATTATGGAACAAATCAATGTTATTTGATTCTATTGTTGATAAAACTTCGATCCATTTGTTTCTAATACTTGATTTGCTATCAGGGACACTATCAACTTCATCCTGTGAACTGCTACTCTCAACTGAATTCTTGAAGTCAAACTCGAATGTTGCTAATCTTATCGGCTTACGCTGCTGATTCCAGTATTGCTCCGGCGGGTTGGTAGGTGTTGTTGCTGTGGTCTGCTCGCCTCCTAGAAAGCTCTGTTGATATACAGAGGCGGGACAAAAGAAAAAAAGAAGCATCGCTACAGATACAGCAAATCACTACAGAAGCTTTCCTAGCATTGTATTTAAAAAGCGAGGGTGAAGCTGTATACGCCAGCGGTGGTAATAAATTTGAACTACTTTCATAATAAATAATGATAACTGATAAGCGTATAGATAAAAAAATACGTGTAATCAAAATATTATACCTAAATATAATTAAACTAAAGAAATTCATTGCAGCTTACTATGCAAATTTTATGGTTATTTTCAGTAAGAAAAAAAAAATAGATCCAAGTAAACCATGCAGGATAATAAAAAGAGGTTTTCTATCAAGAAATTAGCATATAATGACAGTTACCGCGAGCCACGGATGATCAAGTACATCTTCTGCACTGAATCTCAGTTCTGGTTGTGCTTGAAGCATGTTTGAGATCAATTGTTTAGCCGAATCCGACACACTATCCCAGTATGGAGGTGTGAATTCATACTGGCCACTTAAAATACGTTCAAATAATTCTTCTTGCTCATTTTCGGGCGAAACAAATGGTGGGAAACCACAAAGTAAAATATACAGTATCACACCAGCTGCCCACACATCGATCTGAAACAATTAAACTTTGTTTAAATTTGTATGTTTTTAAACTTCATTAAATTAAACAATGCTATCTTAAGAAATGAATATACTTTTAAACCATATCCAGTTTCTGCCAGAATCTCTGGTGCTACATATGTAGGCGTGCCACAAACTGTGTACAAAGGTTCCCTTACAATTTGAGCAAGTCCGAAATCACCTAATTTTAAACACCTAACATGATTTCCATCCATTTCCACCAAAAGATTTTCAGGTTTAACATCACGATGTACAATATGGTGTGAGTGCAGATAAGCTAATGCAGATGTTAAATGCCCAATCATTACACTAGCTTCTGCTTCTGAGAATTTTGTTGCTGCAGCAATTGCATCAAACAAATCTCCACCCTTTGATAACATAAACATATTTTGAATATTTACTTCAATTTTATGATATCATAAAAAAATGTTAAGAAAACATACTTTTACAAGTTCCATAACTAAGAACAGTTGATCAGTGGTCTCTTGTTCAGCAACCAAACTAATAATGTTTGGATGACAAACTTGTCGCAAAATTGCCACTTCACTTGCTAACATTGTTTCTTTACCTTGACATTTGTACTTATCTACAATTTTCATTGCATATTCCTCACCTGTAGATCTACAAAATATTGTTAATAAATTTTTTGTAGTTTGTTTAATTTATAAACATTTAGTTGTTTAAAATACTTACTTATGAATGCAATGTCTGACAACAGCAAAGTTGCCATCTCCAATTACACGACCAACTGTATAATGTAAACGTAATGGTTGAGGCAACATTAAAGATGAAGGGCTAGGTGTTCGCACTAGATGCGGTGTAGTAAGCACTTTCTTTCCAGATTTACGTGGCATTTTTGGCATTGGACCACTTTGCCTTTTCGATATCCATGGACATCTTTTAAAACTCTGAATACTTTTAACTTCTTCAAAATCTAATTCAAAGTCTTCTTGACTTGATTTCTCAGATCCATAAGCAATAAAGATGTCATCATCTTCAAAAAACTGTTCCAAACAGGTAACCTGTTGCCCTGAGCGGGTATAAACTTTTCTTACTGCTCCAGAATCTAATTTAACTGCCTCTGTAATTGCTTCCATTGCATGTTCTAAATTTGGCGCATTTCTTTTATTCAATAAAAGCCGTACAACTTTACGAGGTTTTGTACCATGACGAATTAAAGTAATTATTTTAGCTTTTACACATAAAGGTATTGCACTTATTTGTCTACCAGTACTAGCTGGAAATTGAGGCAATCCAGATAATGAACTGCCTCTTCTTACTTTTGTAGATGAATATTCGACTTTCTTAAACATTTCTCCTTGTCCAGAAACAACATAGCATTTACCATCTTCCAAATCACTAATACTTTGAACCTTCTTTCCATCCATAGTATAAATTGCTCTAACTCCATTAGGTAAAGTAACACTGGATATTAAAGCTCTTGTTAAATCTGAAGTTAAACTATCAAAACTGCGATATCTTTCTGCAGTCACAGCCATCACAATACCGGTATAAAACTTGTCTCCATTTCTGTAAAACCTCACTCTTTTTGCTTTTTTAGTTGACGGTGGTCGAAGAACATTTAAAGAATGTCGTGAACTAATGTCCAATATTCTTTCGTCTAAACTCACAATAGTAGCTGAGTTTATATCCTCACTGCCAGAAAAGTTACTGTCACCAGATGGTGAAGCACCTTGACTCAATGGTTCTTCCATCATCCTAGATATAAACCATGTTCTTCGTGTAAAAATTGCAGTATATATGGAATGGTACAGATAACAAAAATGTTCAAATAGCTTGATATATTACAAATCCAGGGAAACTGATATAAATAAAGTCATCTGCTACCAATTGTTAGCTACTGAGTAAACCATTAGAAGTTTTGTGTAACAAATTACAAATAAGGATTAATTTTCAACACCATCAAATTTTTCTTAGTTTCAATTATACGTTTGAGAACTTGTAAACGTAAGGGTAAGACAACAAAATATTTGTTCACCTTCCTAACCTATTTAACCTTCTCTAACCGCATTCATATGTATACAAATACAATACATAAATAAACAATAATAAACAGCCATTTGTTAGCAACCAAAGTTTATTAACGATTAACAAGTTTATATAAACATACCTACTCAATTAGCAGAATGTGCTACTAAAAAACAGATGAAAAGCCAAGTAATGAACGAATGAATCACCACAGAGCTGACATTTTCATAGCTACCATGACGCAAATAAGATAATAAAAGCGAGGACTCTCGCTTTCGAATTGCACTAAAATAATTTTCCTTTCTATTACTTCTGACTCGTATACAATTGTTAGAGTTTATGTTTCTATCGCGACACACTGATTTTTGTTTTCTATGCGCAGAATAGTTTGACCTGCCAAACTCTATAAATAAAGTGGCTTGTCACAGAGAAACTGAAAGACCAGAACCGGAAGTAGAAACAAATTAAAGGGTGGGACAAAAACCAAATGCTTAGCGGGCTATTTCCTTCAAATTTATTCATAATTAAAAATATATCCTTTTATGATAATTACTTTGTCACTTAAATAGATACCTCAACTTAAATATACCATCACATATTAACGTATAATGAATTATCATAAAAAACATTTTCATAAATTTCTTTTATGAAATATTCACGAACAAAACTTGTCGGCTTAACAAAAAATATTCTAAAACTTATTATGTATGACTATATTAAAAACTAAATAAGCAAGTAAAGAAATTAGAGCTCAAAGAGAAATGAATGTATAATAGAATTAAATTACTTTTTCAACAGTTCGTAAATGTACAATTTTTAAATCGATTCAAAATCACAAAAAATTCAAAAATCGATCGGTAAGATATAATGAATGTAGCTGACGGTAGAGGGCAATATGATCTGTAATAGTAATTTAGCTGTCACTACTTATAGCTTATATTCATCAGTTTATCGTATTTAATTCAAAAAAATAAATTGTGTTTTATAATGTATAATGCAGACATGAAAAAGAGAAATCAGTTAAAATTATAGTAGAGTAATAGCTATAAAACACTGTAGAAATACAACGTTGTATAACTCCTCTGATAGCCGTGATCGTCTAGTGGTTAGGACCCTACGTTGTGGCCGTAGTAACCCAGGTTCGAATCCTGGTCACGGCAATGTCTGACATGACATTGTCACGGCAGAGGTATTATTTTTTTTCTCCCTTGTTTTCTTTAAATATATTCGTTACAATCTTTTAAATATTCAAATACTAATATCACAGCATATATTTCATCATGAGCTTCTATAATCTGGAACTTGGAAATTTGGAGATTTGAGGACTTAGAAATTTAAAGATGTATGATTTAAAAATTTGGATTTCGCAAATTCGGATACTTACAGATTTGAAAAGTTAGGACTACTTTAAAAGGAATCAGAAATTTAGAAAACTGGTAATTTGAAAATTTGAAAACTTGAAGTTTATATGTTTAATTCTCCAAAACTAAAGAATAGTAACATAGTGTTTCTGCTTGTTTTATTCTTGTATTTAACAAAATGGTGTCTATTTCGTATCCGAACATGTGCGATTGTAAATGTTTGAAAGTTGTATCAAAGAAAAATGATACTTTAGAATGAAAATTTAATTCGAAGGATATAGTTTCGTTGGAAGTACGTTTGCGGAGTGCAATTGGTAGGTCCGTACCTGGCGCAGCGATCGAGAGAGAGAGAGATAAAAGCGATCCAGCCAGTGTCGGTAACCAGACAGGGCCGACACAGCAGTGTCGAAGCAAAGGTGCTTTGAGTGGGTGGGGGCGAGACTTCACAATAGCGGAGCGACGTTCTCCAGAGGAGCCGCAGTCTCGCTCGGTGTGTGTTTATCGGCGGTCATAGTAGCGCGGGCGGATGTGTCGCGTTGAAGGAAACGAACAGAGTCGTTCTACAGTGTGTGAAAAGCAAAAGCGAGCGTTTTTCTTGGTTGAAACATAAATTAAGAGAAAAAGTGACGTGCAGTGATTTAGGATGTCTGGTCGCGAGTGAATGGGCAACAAGAGACGCCGTAAGTGCGCGGGTGTCCTGCAGTTCAACTTTGAAAATCTCGAGACCGGTCGACAAAAATGCGGGCGCGATACGTCGTGGCAGGTGAGTAAGACCCCGGGCATGTTCGCCATTCGTGCGGCGTTCTTGGTTCGTGTTTCTCTCCGCCAGCGCCACAGGCCCCGAGATCCTTTCGCGATCCATGATCCAAGACGCAAGCGCGAATCCTTTCGACTCTCTTAACTGTTGCCATTGATCGATATCCGCGTTCGATCGAAATTATTCGCTAAATGTTTCCGTGGCACGTAATTCGCAGTGCATCGACGTTCGAATTTTTGCGTAAAACGATGGAAGCGTCGTGACAAGTGGGGCTGCCGCCCTGCCAAACCGTTCCGCACACCTGATCGTGTCTACCTGAAGTACTGTTATATCTTCGTGTTATACTAGGATAGACTAAAATATACGACGTTCTGCTCCATGGAGCCGGGTATAACCTTGGTAGTCTTTCCGTTGACGTTAATATTTCCTTACCCGGTTTCTCGTGTTTTCTAACTGTTTGTCCGAGTTTTATTATAAAATAACATTCGTACCAGTTGTACGATCAGATCCGCCACGAGAGTTTGTGGAGCCCTGGGCATGAGAACTTATGTGTAACAAATTTTTCATTGAATTACACGCTGTGTTAGATTAACCAAAACTTGTCAAAGTTTAAGTCAACACGAACTCGACAATTGCAACTGAATGTTCTGTTAAATGATACAATTTGTGGCAATATAGTGCGAAGTAATTTAACGCGTGTTCATTCTTTTTAGCTTTCTGTATGTTATAATTATGTTTACCATATTTTTAATTCATAAACTCTAATAAATCTTACTTTTGCGATATAATGCATTTGTAGAAACAAAAGATGATATTTCATTAATAATCTGCAGGCTGAAATTTATTATTATTAATCTGCTTGTGATACGTGTAATTTAAGATCTCCCTACAATTGTGAATGAAATTTATTCTGAAAGTATTGACATAACGTATGGCGATATAGAAATATGACGTAGCAATATGTGTTATATGCAATATGACACGTGGCAGTATAACGCGAGGCAATATAATGTGTAGTTATAAAATATGTCACAATATACCACGTTGTAATGAACGCATAATTGTACAACGTGTGGCAATATAACTCGTGGCAATATAACACGTGGCAATATAACGCGAGGCAATATACTGTGTAGCTATAAAATACGTCATAATATATCGCATTGTAGTCAATGCATAACTGTACAACTCGTGGCAATATAAGTCATGGCAATATAACACATGGCAATATAATGCGAGGCAATATAACGCGTAGTTATAAAACGCGTCTTAATAAACCAAGTAGTAATATAACGCATGATAATGTAATTCGTGATAATACAACTCATGGCAATATAATTCGTGACAATATAACACGTGGCAATATAACGCGAGGCAATGTAATGCGTGGTTATACAACACGTCTCAATAAACCAAGTAGTAATATAAAATATGGTAATGTAATACGTGATAATACAACTCGTGGCAATATAACACATGGCAATATAACATATGGCAATATAATGCGAGGCAATGTAACGCGTGGTTATACAACACGTTTAAACAAACGGAGTAGTAATATAACGCATGATAATGTAATGCGTGATAATACAACTCGTGGCAATATAACATATCTATCTAGCAAGTGGCAATATAACACGTAGTTATAACATCGTGTCGCAATATAAAGTCCATAATAATCCAATGCATATTAGTATAACTTACGGCAATATAACGCATGGAAATTTAATGTCTGACCATATAATGAGTGGCAATATAACAACAATATAACGACACCTGAACCAAAAGAAAAATTTTGAAAGATTTTCAAAACGAAATTCCTTAAACGCAGGGCCCAAAATAAGTGCTCCGTTTGCCCGACACTAACGGCAATACTGCAGTGCACTATATCGCTGTTTCTACCGAGTTTCTCTGTTCGTACAATACAGGTTCGTAGACCGTGAACGGGGAACGCACTGCGTAAAATAATGATCGCGCCCGATGTTGGTTCACATTCGTGTTGAAGTCTCCGCGTTTGAGTTACTCCGCCAATTCTTGGCCCCGGGGCATTATTTTTGATTCACGCGATCGTTTGGCGTTATACTACGCGGATAAAGGAATTGAACTGAGAATTGTAAGTGGCTGATCGATAACGCTGGTGCAATGACCGGCGTAGCTTCTTAACAACTGAAATAATCGTAAAAGAACGTAACCATCGTTGTGCATCCTTTGAGAAATAAAGTATCGAGCGGACTGTTAACGTTTAGCCAATCACGAACTTTTACTATTGGTACGTTTGTTGCTCGAAAAGTGCATAAATTGAAATGCGATGGAGGGAAAGTTAATGATATACTGAGTGTCCCACAGTACCTTAGTAACATGATTTTATTCGTAAAAAATAACGGAAAGTGTAACATAAATTATTTTCTATACACAGCTTCATTTTGTATAATATTTCAGTTTGAAACGATGTAGGTTTCTATTATCATTTGTATGTTACTTCCTTGTATCATAATTATTAGTGTGATATGCAGCACCAGATAGGTAACTGTATTAACACACTTTAATTATAAAATATCTCATTAAGATGTTTATTCCTGTTTTATTACAAACGCAAGAAAGGTTTCTGGTTGAGAAAATAGTTTCGTTAAAAGGCAATGCAATTAAAATGGAACATCATTGTCTATATAAAATTGAACAATATTGTTGAATATAATAAGTGTTTGAAGACTATCAAGCGGTACCTGTACGTAATACTTGGACTCGCAAAGTAGACCAGTAGAAATATCGATCGTCTTAAATCGCATTGTGATATCTTGCATTGTTTCCCCTTTCGTTGTTCCCCTTAACGCGTAAAAACGAACGCGTGCTCGCCTCACATAAAACTCTATTAAAATAACTCATAATCGTGCTTCGTACTTTTGTTTGATGCCTTCTCGTAATTTCGTTTGTGAAAGTTCATAAACCGCCGTCCAGTCGCGAGAAAGCAGTCAATTTTTATATATGGTGTCATGTAATTTGCGGTTCAAGTTGAAAGGTATTTACCCATGTGAAAACGGATACGCTTCCTGATATTTGTCGAATTTGAATGTTCATCGAAAGATATGGGTACTTTCACGGATTTAACTTTTGGGCGTTATAAATTATTTTGACGTTTTAAATCATTATGTATGATACTATTAATTATGCAGTTTCGATCGATTATAATATAGGATCATATGAATTATGAATAACAGATTGTCTATACATATATTATCTATACATATAGACAATCTGTTTATTGTGCATTGAATTAAATTTATTACATAATACAAGATATGATGCATATAGAATAACATATGCACATGTGTGCAGTAACGTATGTGTAATATATGTGTATATGTGTATAGTAACATATGTGTAGACAATCTGTTTATTGTGCATTGAATTAAATTTAATATATAATGCAAGAGATATAATGCACATAAAATAACGTATGTACATATGTGCAATAACGTATGTGTGATACATGTGTATATGTGTATAATAACGTATGTATAGTCAATCTGTTATTGTGCATTGAATTAAATTTATTACATAATGCAAGATATAATGCACATAAAGTAACGTACGCACATGTGTGCAACAACGTATGTGTAATACATGTGTATGTGTATATAATGACATATGTATAGACAATCTGTTTATTGTGCATTTAATTAAATTTATTATATAATGCAAGATATAATGCACATAAAATAACATATACACATGTGTGCAATAATGTATGTGTAATATATGTGTGTATGTGTATAATAACGTATGATAGCACATCTTTGCTAGTTTTGTATAAATTTATTTAAACACACGTTTTTATTAGAGAAAATCGATTCTTGAGTAATGCTTAATTAATGCAACATATACATTTATTAATTAGCATGAAACAATATTTATTTCGAGCAAACTAGCTAATGATTTGGTTTTCCCCAATTTCTTGTTTTCTTTATATTCGACGATTTTTCGAATCAGAGAGCTTCTTGGGACTTGATATTCTCTTTCAGAAATTTCCGAGAATTCGTAGATTCTCTAAAAAAAATTAGTTAAGGAGAGACCTGTTTTAATAAGCAAAAAACAAAAGGTCAAGTGCACTACTAAAGGTCAATGAGCTACTTGCTTTTGGTTTTAGAGGGCATTTGACGTATGTGTAATGGAAAATAAAATAAGGTCGTGACCTTGAGAATGAAATAGCTTGTTCTATATTTTTTTATTTGGTCTTTTAATCTTACTGCAGAAATAGTTCATGTTTCTGCGATTTTACAAAAAGATTGATTGCTGACAATTTTTGTTAATATATTTTCAAGTTGTCATATTTCTGTGTGTGAGATAATTATGGGTATGGAATAATTTTTAAATTTTCAGATTTCAAACTTTCAAATTCTATTGAGACATCGAATTTTCAATTTTCCAAGTTGTCTCCAAATTTTCAAATTTAAAAATTATCACAGTTTTCAAATTATTCTTCAAGGCTTGAACATCTATAATTTAAAACTTTACAAACCACAAAATTTCAAAATTCCTCGCTGCTAAATTTACAATTTTCCATAAACAGTCAGCCAAACTGATTATCTATTATTGACCACGAGTAAAAAGGTCCCCACAACGGTACGCCCCTGTATCCCAACCGCCCACCCGATTAACCAAAATTAATAATTAACAACTCGATATACGAGGCTGTAAACTGTCCGACCTTTTATTTCCACATTCCGGAATATTAATCAAAAGTTTCTACTATACCGAATCTGTGCAGCCAGAAAACGGAGTGTTCGGACGCGATAAAATTTCGTATACGTCGGATAAAACGAGGCACCTGTTACGGAATCTAGTCGAGTCTTTTTTCGCTGACGATAAGGAGAAAGGAAAAAATGATTAAGGCTGGCAACGTCCAGCAGGTATAAAACGACGGACGTAGGGATCCCCTCTGTTCCCGCACGTTCGCGTGTGTTGAACGATGCATGTGTCGTTCAAGCCGCGCACCTGAGCGTGAAGCG